TGGCAGTGATCCACTACATAAAGGACCATCCTGCCGCCTCACTGGATCAGTTAACTCTGCCTGGAACCTTTCCCACGATGGAGACTCTGATACTCAGTGTTGATGATGCCGGCTGGGGAAGAACGTACGGTAAAACGGTCGTTGATGTCGTCCGCCAGCGCCTTAATGAAAAACGAGCGGCGGAATTGAATGTCACAAGACTATTTTACTTGCGTATAGATTGTGTCGGTGATGAAGTCGTCCACCAGCTAAGAAGCGACGGGCTTGATGCACTTGAGGACGAAGGTTTGTATTGGGGGAAAGGGGAGTCACCGTACCTTGAAGTCGAGGAATATTGGGTGGGGACCTGGTATAGTGAGTTAAATATCTATGTGCAGCGGGAATTCGAAAACAGCTAACAGTACTTACGAATTTGGTAGGATAGCACTGCACAATAAATTAGTATTCCCTATCTGCCACATCATAAATCATGAGCTACTTTTTGCCGAAGGATGTTCCGTCAACCATTTGGTCGTTGGGCTGGCACTTGTTGAAAGGATTCACCATTTTCTGAGTTGATAGAATTGAGGCTCGACATCGATGCTAATACTGATTAGGAACGAAGATATGGTAAAAGGGTTTTCGATGTCGTGTGCGAACGTTTGATGAGGGTACTTGCACCTTGATAACGATGCTCTTGGGTGATTCAGCCGAGAGGTTCTTCGGTATGTGCGCGAAGTGGTGATGAGACTAAGGCGTATCGGGCGCGGGGATAGACAAAAGGTCCCGAGAAAACATGGCGGTTGGTTGGACGAACCCGTTTCGAGTGTCGGAGTAGTATGGGATGAGGGTGATAGTGTTCCGTGTGGAGAATGGTTGACAGAGGGGCTTGTGGGTAGGCCAGTGCGAACCTGAGTGAGATGTCAAGGAGGTATAATATGCTACAAAAGGTGAAACGACACGCACGCTGACACGCTGTCGAACAATACCTTGCAGTCTGACACTTTGAGCACAGCCTGAGTTGGACACCGTCTCCTCCTGGTTTCTTGCAAAATTCGCATGCCTTGGCGTCCATAGGTTTCTTGTCTCCTGAACGCTTCCTGAGCCATCGCTGCACCGCGGCTGTCACCTCTGGGCCACACTTGAGCCGAAACTCCCGTGGCTTGACTCCGTCTGCGTCTGCAATGTCTATGTCGGCGCCGAATTCCATGAGGAGGTCGATAGCGCCGATTCCGTTGGTCTGG